AAAGCTTGGGGCGAACAGACTGGTAGTAAGAGCCACCTTCCCAGCAGCCTGGGGGTATGGTATTCAGACAGCAGCATGCCCTCAAGCCACCAGGAAGCTGCATGGCTGACTGCATGTGTGGCAGCTTTATGGCATTTTGGCAGCACGGTGTTTATACACGCTGCACTGCAGAAACACTGAAAAGCTGCCACAGCAATGCAAAGGCACCTTTTTCCCAGTGCAAAAAGGAACAGCTTTCTGGGTTGGGGGTGTGGTTTGTGGTTGCTGCAGCCCCAACCTGGAGATCAAAGGGGTGGCATGATGCTGCTCATTTGGGTCCATCTGTTTTGCCCTTTCCTTGCTCAGGTTGTACATGCCAAATAGTATGGAGGAGACACATTTTAAGTTGGCTACCACCTATTTATGTTGGAAATATGATTCATATGGATGATGTGGAGGTGTGTTCATTCTGACCAGCAGGAGTTCAGATCATTCCTTACATTATGTGACTTTCTAAGACAGCTCCCAAAATATTCCAGTTGTTGATGATAGGGAGGATAACTGGTAGCGTTCCCGCTCTTCGTAATCTTCACATTTTTATTTTATAGTAAAAAAGGATGGAATGAGCATTAATCACTACCTGTTACTCAAAAGTCTAGAAATGCTCTTAGACCATATGAACATTCCTAGGTTAAGAGATATTCCTTATAGTAGAACTGATATATTACAAAATTGACCAGCTGACTCTTAATGAGATGCCTTTGCACACAGAGAATGATGGATTTCATTAGTAAGAAAGACTTTAAAAAGGCCAAGCCCTTACAACCAAGTCTTCCATGCATATGTTTCCTTATCATGCAAAATGATTGTTGAACTCTGTACAAGAACTTGTACAAGAACATAAATTTTACCAGTACCGATTTTCCGATTACTATGATTTTTTTTTCAAGGCAGCAAAAATTTAAGATGAGATGTTTTATTGCACTAAAACAACTTTGGTGTGTAAATGCCATTTTCTCCTTAAAATAAAATGTAAGAGGTAATTGACCATCTTGTGTTTTGCAGGGTTGCCCAGAAAAACTGAGTTCTGTTGGAAAACTAATGTTGTTGTTGTCGTTGTTGTTGTTGTTGTTAACTGCCTTTGAGTCAACTTTGACTCACGGCAGCCCCATGAATGAGACACCTCCAAGCTTCTATGTCCTTAATTGCTATATTAAAGTCCTGTAGGATGAGGGTTATGACCTCCTTGACTAAGTCTATCCATCTGGTATGCAGTCTCCCTCTTTTCCTACTGTCTTTCACCTATCCTAACATTATTGTCTTTTCTAGTGAGTCATAGGGCCTCAGCAGACGACTAATAGGGTCGTCTCCGAGGCAGGGAA